TTACAATGTACAGGTGGGGCCTGGCCAGGGGTGGGGTAGGCGGACAAGATGTCCTCTCTGATCACAGCTGGCAGCTGGCGGCACCAGTGTTAAGTCAGTGGCAGGCCCCAAGATTTGTGGGGAGTGCCCACTGGAAGGGGCTTCCTGGGCCCCTCCACATGCTTACGCTATTCAGGCCCTGCAACGGCCACCCTCACGCTGAACCCTCCCGGGAATATGAAACAGTTCCAGGGCTGTGCAGGGGGCTGAGTCTAGCCTGGCTAAGACCAGAGGAGGGTCTGAGAAAAGCTCAATGGGTAGGATCAGGCTTGGGGAGGGAAACCAGGCCAGAGGAGGTGAATGCCTGGGCTCTGATCCCATGTCCACCACTTACCCCCTGCAATCCAGCAAGTTCCTTAACCTCTCTGTCCCTCACTTTCCATATCTGCAGAATGATACCTAACTTCTCAGGTTGTTGGCAGGATTAAATTGGTTAATAAATATAATGGTATCTACAACAGTGCTATAGGCATGTTTGCTGACAGTGCCATTCTTGTTGATGTCATTACTCAGTTCTCTCTGAGGCTCCATTTCTTCCCCCATGACACTGGAGGGTCATCCTTGTCTCACGCCATGATGTAAAGTTAAATAACGTACAAAGTACTGGGTGCTCGGTCTGCACACAGTAGGTTCTCAATGAAAGGGAGCTCCCTCCCCTTCCTTCACCTTTCCCCATGAGAGACCAGACTAGGAGTCAGAGTCGGTCCAGAATCCCACCAAGTCTCCCTGTGGGATCCTGGCCTGACCTCTGGCTCTTGGCCACAGTTTCCCCAACTGTGACAGAAGCTTCTGGACCCAGTGGTCTCTATCCGTGGTGATACCTGCTCCAGCCTTTCCCTCTTCCTTCCCCATTTCCAACTAATATCCTACTGCATCCCCTCCGGATATAGCAGAACCCTTGGGAGCCTAAAGCAGGGTAGAGGTATAGCTAGTGGGCAGAGGGCACCAGCCCTCAAGCAGCCCAAGGCCCAGTCCAGGCCCCCAAGGGTTAAGACCCAGAGCGAGGGGCGGGGGCCAGGGTCAGTGCTGGACAGATGGGCCTGGAGCCCAGGGCCGCCTCCCCTCCCCCTCCCCTGGGAACAGAGGCCACTTGTTTGGGCATTGGCGGATGGCTTTGAGCTCAGCCAAGGGAGAATAGGGTGGGAAGGAAAGGGGGCCCCTGCAGCCAATGTCCTAGGCTTGGTCTACCAGTAGCTCTCAGTACTCTCAGAAGCCTCCCACCCCTCTGAACTGACCCCTTCCTCTGGGTTCTCCCTTTCCTTCATTCAAATGCTCAACGCTAGGGGCAAGACTTAGATTCACATAGGCCCAATTCTTGACTCAGCACAGTCTCTTTGGAGCATGAGGCCAGGGCTGATCACCCCATCCTGCAGATGGGGAAATAGAGGAATAGAGGTTCTGAGGAGTTTGGGGGTTTTCAGAGTCACATAGTGGCTGCGGGCTGCATAAGGACTCTGGGCCCCAGGTCCCAATCAGCCCCATGGCTCTGCAGGCCCCTTCCCCACAGAGCTCCAAGGAGACCCTTTCTAAGTTGTGCCACTACACAGGAGTAAAGGGCTGGACAGGAATGAGGGGCAATAAGCAGCCTACCTCTGAAAGCCCTAGTCCTAAAGGACCTGTGGATGTGGATGGGGAGAAAACTTCTGTGGGGGAAGGGGGACAAGCAATCTACACAAAAGGCTGAGACTTGACGCCAGGATAAGCATGGCTGGAGCCTGGGTAGTGGGGACATAAGGCTGGGCCCAGTGGGGACGCCTGAAAGCCAAACAAAGCCTGGGGTAATCATGTCCCGGTGGCATCTGCCCACTCCACCTCACCAGTCATCAGTACTCTGCCTGGGACACCATCCTCCTACCCTACCCCAGTGAGCAAGTAACCAATGGGGAAGCAGGGTCCTCCAGGCATGGCACGCAAGGATGAGTTCTCTCCACACCCCTACCCCTGCTACACTTCCAGCCACATCCATCTTCCTGCCATTCCTAAAACACACCATTCAAGTTCCTGCCTTTGCACAAGCAATGCCCTCCTTGGACGGCCCCTATCCTTAAACTGCCACGTAACAGCCAAACCCATTCTAATCATTCCCTCCTTCCTGGATCTGCACCTGTCCACACCTGTCTTCGTGGCTCTGCTGGGATCCTTCTACCCTGTAATGATCCTGGTGGGTGGTCTTCCCCAGCCTGAGCACTGGGTGCTCTCCAAGGACAGGCATCATGAGTGCCTCAGTCTGGACCCCGGGATCCAACAGGCAGTAAATCCTTCCTAGAGTACACCCACATACCTGGCCCTGAAGACCTTTCCTCCCACCTAGTCGGGGGATCAGGGAAGGCTCCCCAGGACATGGGATTTGGGGGAAGGGAGTGCATATGGCAGAAGCCCTACTGTGATGACCAGAGTTCCCCAGCACCAAAAACCACCGCTGGAGATCTGGGACCAAACACCCACCCCATGCCCTCCCTGCAGGCTGCCACTCCAAGACTTCTCTCTTCACTCTCCAGTCCCAATCACCCACTCTCAACTTGACCCCATTCAGTGAACACACACCTCCTTTTTCAGCAACTGGGCCAGGTAGGGACTCTTGGGAAACCGTGCTCCCATTTACTGGTGGGGAACTGAGGCTCAGAGACCGGAAGTAGCCTGCCCAAGGTCACTGGAGCCCCAGGTCCAGGGCATAGGATCATAGGGATCCGCAGAAGTGTAGCGGTCTCGGCGGTCAACGAGGGGGGAGCCTTCATTTCACAGAGGGGAAAACCAAGGAACCCGAGGGCGGGCTGGTTCCGGAGCCTGGGAGCCCGAGTCCCGCTGGTTCACCCTCCTCCCTACTGTCTCTAGCCCAACCGCCCATCCTCAGGAGGCGACCCCCATCACTATTACAGGGCAGGAAAACCGTCAAGAGGACCTGGGGAAGTAGGCGCCCAACGTTCCCCTCTGCAGAATGGGGAACCTGCAGTACACATCTGGCGAGGGGGCTGCGGACGGGGAGGCCCCGGCAGCAGCACTGACCTGTTTTGAGCGAAGACCACGCGGGGACCAGGTGTCCCGGCGCCACCACCAACTCGAGCCGCCACAGCCAATTCCCAGCAACCGGCCAGGCGCGCCCACCCCACCGGGCGCTTCCGCCCGCCCCACGTGACGCCCAGGGGAGGGAAGGGCGGGACAGGGGCCGGGACCCGCCCCGCCCCCTGGCCCCGCCCCTCCGCCTAATCGCAGTCCTTGAGTCTGCTAGCCTGACCCGCCTGCCCGACCGGTCGGTCCCGGTGTCTCTCTCCAGCCCCTCTCGCTGCTTGCAAGTCCTCCTGTCTCCGGGCTCAAGTCCACCCCGCCGCCCCGCGCGCTGAGTCTCCATCTCTCCCGGAGTCTACCGGCCGCTCGCCACCCCTCTTCTGGTGAGTCATTGCTTTGAGAGGGGTAAGCCCCACGCACCCCCGCCCGCCCACACCCCCAGGGCGATGGGAGCAGTTGTAGTCCAAGCAAATGTGGTCCCTGACCCTCCCTCCCCTACAAGAAGTCTTTCCCCCACCACATTCCGCCACCACGGAAGGGTATCCCACTTCTCTTCCTGGGCTCCACATATCCCAAAGGCAAGGATCTGGGGAAGAGTCCCAGTCAGTCGTACCTCCCAAGGACCCCAGCACCCAGGCCTAGAGAAGGGGAGATTCTTGCCCATCCTCCCAGCACATACACAGATGAGGGCCCCAGGCTTGGCAGGTATTTCTGGGTCACCTCTGGGGCCAGCCATGCCAGAGACTTTAACTTCTCTGGGCTTCTATTTCTCCACATGCACAAAGGGAATATTTGGAAGGAGAGCTCTCACCAGGTTGGGCATGGGGGTTTACCTCGAGAAAAGGAAAGTGTCATTAATTTGAGCCCCTACTACATGCCAGGCCCAGTGCTGGGCAATTTATTCCTTTTATCTCTGTCCTTACTCTCTGTTTGAAGATAAAAATTGTCACCCTAGATTATAGAGTAGGGAAATAAAGCTTCAACAAGTTCCAGAGCTTGCCCAAAGTCACAAAGCTAGTATTGGACAAAGATGGGATTGGAACCCATCTTGGTGAGTTATAAAATCTCCTGCCCACTGCCCACTGGCCATTTACCCTGTCCCTCTGGGAAAGAGTGGACTGAATAGACTGTGTTTTCCACTGGCAGGGCCGAGGCAAGGAGCTTTCTGGGAGGAGAGAACAGAGCCAGACCTTGGGGAGAAACTTCCAGGCCCCAAGTTCATTCATATGGGGGAAAAAACAATGGAGAGGAGCTGAGTTCAGGACCCTCCTCTGAACCTGGCAACAGAAGGCACCTGGGGGCCACAGAGAACAGACCCAGGCAGCCCTCTAGAGCTCAGAGCAACCTGGTGGAACACAGGATGAGAGGGCACCATTTCTGTTACACAGTCCTGAGGTCTTCAACGTGACCTAGGAAGGGCATGAATCACAGAGCCTGGTCCCTCCAGCTACAGCCCTGAGCTCCCTCCTCCAGGACATGCCACCGACCCTCACCTCTGAGGCCCCACAGCCCCCACCCCCTCCCTTCTCTGGCAACAGGAGAGTGTCAGGCCCCCAGTTCATAGGTTGGACCCAAGGGGCTTGCAAGGCCTAAAGTCATACAGTAGAACCTGCCCTGGGAGCCCTGACCAGGGCCTCTGGCCAGGCCTGCTCCTTCCCTTAGAGTTGTGAAAGGTAACCAAATAGCCTGGTGTGAATGGCAAAAATGTACAACAAGGACAAGTGCATGGATGAAGAATGAACTAATGAACAGACTGAAAGAATAGAACAGACTGTGGACAAGAGGAGGGGTAACAACCCCTCCCTGGCCCGCCCTGCCCCCCACAGGGAAATGTGGAGAAGGCTGAAGGATCAAAAGTCAGGCAATCAATAACATTAACACAATTAACTGTAAAAGCAGGGGACCAGGGCAGTGGCGGTGCCCTGGCAGGTGGGAAGCAGGCACAGTGATGAGCCGGCTGAGGCTGTGGGATCATTTATTGGGGCTGTGTCCAGCCAGGCGGCAGCGCCCGCCTGGGCCCGAGCCCAGCGCCCCCATGAGGCGCAGGGGGTAGGGGAGGGGAGAAAGTGCCAGAGGATCCGCCGCCCCAGGGCTCCGCCCAGGTTCTGTCTGGGTCCTTGCAGCAGTGCCACGCTCAGGTGAGCGAGGTGTCGTCGTCGCTGCCCTCGCCGCCAGCGCCGCCCATGCGCTCCTCCCGGCTCTCCGCCACCGCGCTCTCGTCGATGTTCTCCAGCGAGTCCGCATGCTGCACAGACAGCTCCGACAGCGCCAGGCTCGGCAACGGGCTCTGCTCCGGGTGCAGCCACGGCTTGAAGTGAGGCTGATGCTTCTGCTTCCACTCAGGGTACTTGACGCACGCCTTGTACATCTTCTTCATGGCCTGCGGGCCGCCGACCCGCCCCGCGGTGTCAGGGGATGGCCAGGGGCGGGCGAGGTCTCCCCCACGCCCCCTCCGGCGGCTCAGCGCTAATAATCCCGACTCTGGCTCCAGTTTCATAACTCCGCCCTTCATCCCTCACCCCGCCCCCGAGCCCTAGTCTCCATCTCTGACTCCACCCCCTCATACCAGAGTCCTCTCCCTGGCCTCCACACCCCACAAAGTCCCAAGGCCACTCACCTTGGGAGCCAGGAACTGAGAAGACTTATTCACCACCCACTTGGGTAAAGAGCCTAGAGGACAAGGAAAAGGTAGTGAGAAGGGAGGAAGCAGCCTCAGGGACCCGCTCCCACCATACACACACCCCAGCCCCCTCCCTCTGTCCCTCCATGGGAAGAGGGGTATGTGAGGAAAGTCCTACCAGACTTCATCCTCAGTCCTTCTTTCCACCTCAGACCTCAGGCTCAACTCTATTCCCCCTTCTCCCTCTGCTGACCCCTAAAAGACTGCATGGAAGAAAACCACAGGGTCCCAGGTGACCACAGGCTACACATGGGCTGAAAATTCTGACCCACCAAGCTCTGGCCTGCCACCTCCCTCTACCCACACTGACATCCCTTCTCATAGCTAACCCCTCTACCTGAAGCCCTGATGCTCAGCCCCTCCTCTACCTGTCCTTCCGAGCTCCCCCCCCCATCCCTGACTACATAGACCTCTAGGTGAACACCCCATCCTGGCCTTCCCTGGAATCCACAGCCCAGTTCTCAACCCTGTCTCATTCCCAAGTGATTGCTCCACCTCTGATACCCAGCACACTCAATGAGGTGCCAGCAGGAGCCTTGGGTCTGGGCCCCTGTGCCGTTGGGGGCTTGGAGCATTCCCAGGCAAAGATGCTCAAGGCTTACCCATCCTCTAGTCATTCATTCACTCACTCACTCCACATTCACTTTGACACCCCTACTCCCTGGGCTAGCCCTGGGGACCCAGAAAGGAACTCACTGTCAGGGAGCCCAATAGTGTGCCAAGTGTTATGGAGAAGGGAATGGGCCCACAGAGCAGGGAGCCAGTGACTAGGGGCCAGTGACTCCCCTGGGTACCAGGGATAAGGGAGGTGATATCTGCAGCAGCCCTGGAGAGACAAGTAGGGGAGGGGAGGTGTATCTAGGCTGCAGGAAAGGACAGCCTAGACAGGGAGGTGTGAAGGTATAAGGTGTGAGGAGGGACTAGGGAACTGGGTAGGGGCTTAGACTTTACTCTGAGGGCAGTGGAGAGTCACAGCGGAATTTGAAGCAGATGAGAGCCATGAGGAAATAAGTACTTTAGAAAAGTTTCTCTGGGAACTGGTACAGACAGATAAGGTGGCTGAGCACGGAGAGAAATGGCAGATTCATGAGGTATTTAGGAGGTAGAATCAGTAAGAATCAGTGACTGGATGTGGGAGCTGAGCAAGAGAGAGTGGCCCCAGATGACCACAGGTTCTTGGCAGGAAGGCAGAGACTTAGGAGAATGGGCAGGTCAGGAGTAAAGAGGTGAGTCCACCATTGGACACAGTGAGTCTCAGGAGCCTAGAAGACATCCTGAGAGAGATGTCAGGGGGCTAATGGCCACAGGGATCTGGATCTCTGCAGAGACATGTGGTCAGCTGCCACTGAAGCCATGGGAGTGGCTGAGGCCTCCCAAGGGAGAGAGGACTAAGGTCTGGACAACCCAGGCCTCCAGGATTGACGCCAGCAGGGCAGAGTGGGAGCAGCCAGCGAGCAAGGAGCAAGTCAGAGCACCGGGATGTCCGAGCCCAGGAAGAGAGCCCCAGGTTTCCTCAGTACAGCCATGGCTGCCACTGTGGCCCATTCTTTTCCAAGCATGTAAAGTCTCAAACCTTGGCTCAAATAAGACTTTGGATGAAGCTACCCCAAAATACAAAACAGCTCCTAACAGATGCCTTTCTGGATCCCTAAGTAGATCAAGCCCCATCCCCTGTGGTATAGGCAAGGATCCCATAATAGGCTGCCAGGGCCAAGCCCTCACCTTTGGGGTCCACCTGGGCCAGGTAGGTGATGACGCAGCTCTTGGGCCCCGTGCTCTGGATGAGGTAGCCGGTCTGGATGGACACAGCTCGGACCAAGTCTTTCCGAGGTGGGTATTTCTGGGGATGGAAGGTACAGGGAGGTAAGACTCAGGGTGGGGGCAAAGGGGATGTCTTTGGGAGTACACACACACACACACACACACACACACACACACACACACACAGTTCACATCCCCTGGTATCTATTCCAGGCTGAGCCTGATTCTGGGTAAAGAGAAAGGGAAGAATCAGACTAGGTCATCCTGCCCCTCTTGAGGCTTTCCCTGCTCCCCTCGGGAAGGCCACCAGGGTGGGGTCAGGGCTCATGAGCATACACGGGCACCCAGAGACTCACACACTCACCCTTGCCCAGGCTAGCCACACCTGCCTGTCATTCCTGCCCAGAGAAAGCAAGGTGGCCTAGCCAGGGGTGGGGGACCACCTTTTACCCCTTGCTCCCCTCTTTCCTGGCCAGCCCTGTCCCAGAGCCCAACCAGCCAAAGTCAACCCATCCCACCCCTTCGCCACAGAGATGGCTGCACTGCCCTCTTCTGATCTGCTTGAGAGCCACAGGGAGCTCTCCTCACTGTGCAGGAAGGACACTAAGGGCCCACGGGCCCCATGCTTGCCCAAAGTCCCAGGGAAGTCATGGTGGCAGCCACAGCCCAGCCTTGCCTGGCACCTTCCCCTGCCCACTTGGCAGAAAAGGCAGGTTGACTCACGGGATGTTTGACTGAGTAGTTCATAATGATGTAGTCGGTGCCCATGGGGAGCCAGGAGCGGAGGGTGATGACATCACGGTTCTTCAGGGGCTTGGGACACCTCCCTGTGGAGGGCAAGGGACAGTTCAGCCAGACCACAGGCCTACCTGCCTATAAGGCACAGTGTGACAGGCCAGAGACACAGGGATGCCTAATTAACTGTCAGCTACCCTGATCCAAACAGGTACCGAGTCCCTTCCAGACCACAGTCCCGTAGCTGGAACCAGGGAAGAAACAGCAGAGCCCTGTCCTTATGGTCTCCAGCCATCCCTGTTTCTCACAGCCCTCACCAGGCAGCCTGGCCTGTCTGTCTAGGTGAATGCAAGTGTATGGGGAAGGCAGAATGACTGTGAGTGTATGTGTGTGTGAAAATGTGTGTCTGTGACTATGTGGCATGTAGCTGTGGGTTGTGTACATAACTGGGTACATGAGTGTATGTGTGTATGAGTGTACATACATGAACATGTGAGTGTATATATGTTTGTGAGTGTACGCATGTGTGCCCAAGTGTCTAGGAGTAGACAGGGACATAGGGGAGAGCAGCCCTACGTCCCAGCACTCGGGTCTCTGAGCAGCCTGGCCAGGGGAGGGAGCACAGGAGGGAAGGTGGGAGGAGGCGGCTCAGTGGGAGGCCTGACCGGAGGCCAGGCCAGGAGGCTGGGGTCAGGGCGCTGTGCCTGCTCACAAGAATAATAGCCCACGTCCGCATTGACCGTCAAGCGGGCGATGTCGAAAGTCTCAATGACGTTGCTGTCCCATTTCTTTCGGTACTCAATGTCGTGTAGGACATCGTAGAGTGTCTCAGCTGGCACGTCACGGCACTCCATCCGGCACTGCAGACAGACATATGGGTTGTCAGGGTCACATAGGGCTCAGAGGCCTGGCCAGGGAACCAGAAGGCAGACAAGTAGAGTGGGGAGGAGGAGGAGGAGGAGGAGGACAGGAAGGAACAGGGGCCTCTGAAGCCAGCATGAATTCACTTCTTACCACAAGCCCTGTCCAGCTCCCCTCGAGGCCACCTGTGCCAGGAGACAGACAGACCCTGAACCCTGTATCCAGAGCCCATCTCCCTCAACTCAGCCCAGTCTCCTCCTCCAGGAAGCCTTCCCAGATTTTCCTGGCTCCCACACACTGAATCTCTATGTCTGTGTCCTCCCATACCCTGGTGAGCTGCTCATGGTCACAGGCTCACAGGTGGTTCATCATGGAGCCTTGAATGGGTACATGTTAAATGAAATGAAAGCATAAATGAAAAAACAAAGGCCTAAATGGATGTTTTCTTTTCTTCCTGGTATTTATCACCAGGCCATACCACCTGTCTTACTTTTTGTATTTTTTCTTCATTCAACAAACATCTTTGGATTTCTTACTATTTATTAGCCTTGCCCTCCAAGAGCTTTCCAACTAAGGAAGAAAGCAGCTGAGTGCACCTTGTTTTATTTAACTCTCCCAACAACTCTTGCCAGACAAGAAATCCAAGGAGGAACTTGAGGCTCAAAGAGGTTAAGTAACTTGCCCAAGGTCACCTAGCTGGTAAGTAGCAGAGCTGGGATTTAACCCAGATCACATGTCTGGAAAACAAGTAAAAACAGAACCTGGTTTCCCTAGATTTGCACCCAGCAAGATGGAACTCAGTCAATGTCCTTGTTCTTTGATTTTTTATCATCCAAGAGCCCAACCCTCAAGATCAAGTTCCCCTCAGCAAATGAACAAGTTTTCTTGTGTAGTTTAAAAAGGTCTCCCAGAGCAGACATTCAGGCAGTGGCAAGGGCACCCCCACACACACCACGTCCTACTGACAAGGGGATATATGAGGGAGGGATCACACTGCCTTCCCCCTCATCCCGGGACAGGCCCTGGCACCACAGTGGTGACAGGGATGCCACAGGAGGGACACACCAACACCAGCTGGATATTCTGGGCACCAATAAACTCATCAAGCCCTGGATATAACTTCAGAAAATACAGAAAACAGAGGAACGAGCTAGGTGACACCACATGAGAATACGACCAGACAGAGCCAGACAGTAAGACTTTGCGCAGGGCTTCTACAGGTCAAAGTCATGATGAAGAGACTAGGCTAGACTGAGACACGTACAGGACACGACCACCATATGTAAAGTGTGATCCTGGATTGCATACTGATTTGGACAAAACAGCTATAAAGGACGTTTTTGGAACAAGAAATGTGAATGTAGTCTGAGTACTAGACACACTGAAAATTTACAGAAACAAAATGGTGGAGATTGCTGCCTTAAAAAAGCAGGTTGCAAAATGGAATGCACAGTATAATCTCATTTGGGGAAAAAAAACTTGCATAGAAAAAGCTCAGGAAGCACAATTACTAAGATATTAACAGTGGCAATCTCTAAATTATAAGAATGTGACAATTTATTTTCATTTGTCTGTATTTTACTTGTCTGTATTTCTAATTTTCTTAAGTGTGTAGTACTGCTTCTACAATAATGAAAAAAATTTTTAAAGGTCCCCCAGAAATACCAGAGGTGCGCTCACCATGTGCCAGGTACTGTACTAAATGCTTTACACACATTTCCTCATTTTATTCTTACAGCAGTGCTCTGAGGTGTTAACCTCATTTTAGAATTAAGAAAGCCAAAATTCAAGGACAGACCCCAGCCTGCAAAGACTGTGACTCTGAACAATTCACCCTCCCCCTCTGCCCCATTTGCTTCTCTGCTTCATGAGGGGTATGACTAGATTCAATCGTTTAACCAGCAGCCCCAGGTTCCAGCCTGGTACTGAGCCCAGAAGAGTCAGACATGAATCTGAGGCCTGAGAAGCTTCCAGTGGAGGGAGGAGCCCTAGCTGGAAATGGGGAGGTGTCCTAAAGTACCCAGTCGGGGCAAAGAGGAGGAGATGAGCTCCCTGGGGTTGGGAAGGGATCAGGCTTCATGGAAGATCTTAGAAGGAGGTAGGTGTTTGCCAAGTGGCCCTGGCAGATAGAACAGCCAGCCAAGGTGCAGAGGCCAGCAAGAGTATGTGGCCTGTGGGCAGCTGAATGGGTTCCATCTGGCCTAAGTCTCCATGGTGTGGTGTCTGGTGCTCAAAAGGCCCCTGGTTCCAGGTCTTCTTGGAGAAATGGGTGATTCCTGGGTCAGAGGAAGGACAGCCTGGAACATCTTATTGTGCCAGAAAGTACTCAAAGAATGATAGAGACCTTGTCCAGTGGACACAGGAACCAGCTCAAAGGGTTCCCACTGTTAGAATGAGCAACTCATCAGGGTTTTACCCAGAAGTTTCCTAGTTTTACCACTGAGAGTCCTGCATCCTGGGAAACCCCTCAGTCCCAGGCAAATTAGGACAGTTGGTCACCCTACTACCAACTAAATCTGGGACAAGCTGTGTATGAAAAATAAGTAATGACAGAAAAGGATTATATTCCACTGCATAAAATAGGAAATCAGAGTATATACAGGTATGAATAAATAAACAGAATGTTTGATGAGGAATGGAGGATTTACAGAGTTTCAAAGTAACTTCCCATCAAATGCTTATTAATTACAAAGAGAAAATGAGTAACTTCATAGTAGAGCAGCCTGGCAGATGCCACCTTAATCAAGTGATCAAAGTGAATATAATTAGTAATAGGACAAATTATGACCAGGTGTTGCCTGATAGGATGCAATGAAAAGCATACAGGCATCACTTATGTGCTGTCTCTGCCAAAGATGCATGACATAAATCTAATGATAAGGAAACATCAGACAAACCCAACATGAGGGTTTGTCTCATTTTACAAAATAATTGGCCTATAAGTGTCAGGATCGTGAAAGTCATGGAAAGACTTGGAAACTGTACCAGACTGAAGGAGACTAATGAGACGTGAGTGAGTGAGTGAACACAGTGACGGGAGGGAAGCGATGGTGAGAAGGGGATTGAAGAAGACAGGGGAGCCCGGCTCCAGCACCATCGCTAGCATCCGCACAACCTTCCATCGAGCACCGCATGGAGGTCCAGGTGCTGCTCCAGGCACTCAGCACATGCTCACTCTTCACCCCAAACTCACAGCGTGGGCGCTGTTATCATTCCTGTGCTACAAAATAGAAAACTGAAGCTCAAGAAATTAAGCAAATTGCCCAGATCATACAGCAGAAAGCAGCAGAGCAGGGATTGAAAACTGGATCTGCTTGTACTCTTCACCATCAAAGAACACTCAAGTGTGGCTTCGGAGGAAACCAGAATTCCTCTAAATTTAAGTTTGGAAGCTGGGTTGACTTTGCAAGTTCTCAAACATGTTATCCTGGACAGCAAGTATATGCAGGGGCAGTGACAACAAAATTATGCTTGGTAGGTTAGAATCCAACCTGGGACTGCCAGGCCCAGTGTCCCTGCGGCCCGGCTGCACTGCAGGTGGATGCACACTGGGAAGGGGCTGACACTGCACATCCTCCTTCCAGAGACTCCCAGGTCAGGGCTGTTGTGGCTCCAGACCCCAAAGCCTACCTCCAAGACAGTGGGCGGAGGGCAGAGCATGCAGAGCCACAAGGCAGACCAGGTGCCCAGTCCAGTGTAAACTCTGCAGAGCACTTTAAGATAAAGAGGGAAACTGAAGCTTTCCCAGGCTGGGGGCAGACTCTTGTGGAGGAAATCCAGCAGCAAGGCCCCTGCCCAGAGGGTGAAAACCCTGGCTGTGGCAGTGGAGGAGAGAAAACTGAGGCAAGCCAGTAGCCGGGTCAGGCAAGTGTCCACAGGTGTCCCTAGCCTAGCCTGGCTCTTGCCCTTTTCACAGCCCCTGGGAGGCAGCATTTGTGCCAATGGGGAAATTACATCTGGCTTTGTTCCTGGGCTTTGTTCCTTCAAAGACTACAAAGGGAGGTGGTGGCCTCACCTCGCCACACCCCACAAGGTGTAATTCTATGAGGCTTTGGGAGGGACAGGTGGCTGGGGTAGGGCTGAGTCACTGGAGAGCACTTGGTGGGCAGGCCTGTGACAGGAACCTATAGCCATTGGGCCGTGGGTGAGTCAGTCATCTCAGCTGGTCCCCCAGAGCTCCCCCTGGAAACTGAAACTGATGGGGGATTGCTCTGCCAAGAAGCCATGCTGGACTTCCAAGTCTCAAAGTGTGGTGTGGAGCCTACATCAGCCATTTTACAGATCAGAAAACTGAGGCCAGGAGGGAACAAATGATGCCAGAGAAACTACAGGCTGTGTCCCTGGTACTCCGCTGTCTCCAAACCCTGTCAAGTTCTTGAGGTGAAGAACTGGCATTGCCCAGAACCCCTGGGACCAGCACTGCCCTCCCAGCACTCCAAGCCCCCCAAAGCCACAGTCAGAAGGGACTGGGCAAGCAAGGAAGCCCGTCGGGGGGAGACCCGTGCAGGTTCTGGGCTGGCAAGCTTGGCTTCCAATCCTGGCTCTTCCCCTTGGACATTAGACTAAACTCTTAGGAGCTTTTGTTTCCTCCTATGAAAAATGGGATAATAATAGTACCTATCTCATGGGGATGTTGTGATTAAATGAGATAATGCGTGTAATATGCCCAGCACATAGTAAATGCTCAAAAAACAGTAGCTGTTTAGTGTTGGTCAGTTAGTAAAAAAAAAAAAAAAAAAAAAAAAAAAGACTAAAGCCGGGCGTGGTGGCTCATGCCTATAATCCTAGCACTCTGGGAGGCCGAGGTGGGCGGATTGCTCCAGGTCAGGAGTTCAAAACCAGCCTCAGCAAGAGCAAGACCCCATCTCTACTATAGTAAGAAATAGAAAGAAACTAATTGGCCAACTAATATAAAGAGAAAAAATTAGCCGGGCATGGTGGTGCATGCCTGTAGTCCCAGCTACTCGGGAGGCTGAGGCAGAAGGATCGCTTGGGCCCA